GAATGGCAGGGGGAGAGAGAATGACAGGGAGAGCGAGAGAGAGAGAAAGAGAGAGAGAGAGAAAGAGAGAGAGAGAGAGAGAAAGAAGAGAGAGAGAGAGGAGAGAGAGAGAGAGAGAGAGAGAGAGAGAGAGAGAGAGAGAGAGAGAGAGAGAGAGAGAGAGAGAGAGAGAGAGAGAGAGAGAGAGAGAGAGAGAGAACAAGAAAAAAGAGTGGAAAAGAGAAATGAAGAGAAGAACAAGAAAAGAAAAAAAGAAAGAAAAAAGGGAGAGGAGAGCAGAGAATACAAGACAAGAGAAGATAAAATAAGGAAAGAAAAGTGAGAGCGAAGAGAAGGAAGACAGAAAGGAGAAAAGAAAGATAGAGAAAGAGTACAGACAAAAAAATACACACAAGAACAAAAAAAAAAAAAGCGACACAGCATCCGGCGTTGTCTTACCTCGTGTTTGATTTTGATTTTGAGAGCTCCGTCCGGGGCGTTCCCCCTTATCGCCAACTGGAATGAGAAAAGTTCCGCGTTTTGGCTCGCTAACTTGGAGAGATATGACTACCCCCCCTGCCCTGCCCCCCCTTCTGTGACCCATATCCCCCCCTGCCCTCCCCTCCCTTTCCCGTGACCCTTATTCCTCCCCGCCTCCCCGGACCTCCTCTCCCCTTCCTTAACCCCTTGCCTCTCCTGCCCTCCCCTTCCGTGACCCTTGTCCCTCCCTGCCCTGCCCTAATCTTCCCGTACGCCCTGCCCCTTCCCCTACCCTGCCGTTACCCCCACCCTTCCTCCCCTACCGTAACAATTTACCCCTCCTTCTTCTTCCATATTCCTCTTTCTTCTCTCGTTTTCCCCAATCCCCCTTCCTTTACCCTAACACCATCCTCCACTCCCCTCCTACCTTTCCTTTCTCTGCCCAGCCGATCCTTCCTTAAATTCACCCCGTCCTTCGCCCTATTCCCCTTCCCTTTCTTTTTCTTACCTCCATCCCCTCCCTTTTTAACCCTTACCTTCCTGCTTCTTTGGCCCCCTCCCCTCTCCTCCCTGCTCCCCACTCCCTCCCTCTCCTCCCCCCTCCCTTCCCACACCCCACCCCTCTCCCTCTCTCCTCCCTTCCTTTCCCACTCCATCCCTCTCCCTCCCTTCCTTTCCCCACTCCATCCCCTCTCCCTCCCTTCCTTTCCCCACTCCCCCCTTCCTTCCCACACCCCACCCCTCTCCCTCTCTCCCTCCTCCTTTCCCCACTCCATCCCCTCTCCCTCCCTTCCTTTCCCCACTCCATCCCCTCTCCTCCCTTCCTTTCCCCACTCCTTCCCTTCCTTCCCCACTCCTTCCCTTCCTTTCCCCACCCCCACCCCTCTCCCTCCCTTCCTTACCCTCCCTCCTCCCTCCTACTCCTTGAAACTATGATCCTTTCCGGTTAAGATACTTTCTGTGGATATTGACTGTTAAGATTAGGGAGGAGGAGGGGGCTTCCCCGCTCTCCTTATCTCGAGAGGTGCTTGTGTGTGCGTGCTTGTGTGTGCGTGCTTGTGTACGTGCTTGTGTGTGCGTGTGTGTGTGCGTGCGTGTGTGTGTGTGTGTGTGTGTGTGTGTGCCTGTGTGTGTGTGCGCTTGTGGTGTGTGTGCTTGTGTGTGTTGTGTGCTTTGTGCGTGTGAGGGTGTGCGTGTGTGGGTGTGCATGTGCGTGTGTGGGTATGCATGTGCGTGTGTGTGTGTGCATGTACGTGTTCGTCTGGGTGTGCATGTGCGTGTGTGTGGCTGTGTTGTGCTGAAGAATTTCATGTGACGCAGTGTTTTATCTGATATATTCATCCTCCTAACAGAATACCAGCCCTCACACAATACACCCTTAAATATCCAGTGACACACGCAAAACACGCACATCAAACACACAACACACACACACACACACACACACACACACACACACACACACACATTCCCCTAACCCATATCCCCCAATCCCCACCCTCCCCCACTCCTCAAAACCCCACCCTCCTCTCTCCTCCCTTCCCTCTCCTCCCTCACCCTTTCCCTCTCCCCCTCTCCCTTCCCACCCTCACCCTTCCCTCTCCCCCCTCCCCCCACCCATTCCCCACCCCTCACCTTTTCCCTCCCAGCACAACCTCGCCCTCGACCGCGCCCTAACCTTGAGGATCTGGCAGTGGTAGAGCGAGCTGTGCACCTCCTTCTCCATCTCGGGCGGCAGCGGGGAAATGTGTTTCTGAGGGGGGTCGCCGCGGTACATGGAGCCCTCCCGCCAGAAGGTCGAGCCGAAGGAGGGAACCCACAGGCCGCGAGTCACCGTGTCCGAGCTCACCAACCTGGGGGAGAGAGTGGGGGGAGGGGGGATTAGTGGTGAGTGAAGAGATAAAAATGGAAATGAAAATAATAATAATGATACTGGTACTACTACTACTACTATCAGTAACATTAACAACAACAACAACAATAATAATAATAATAATAATAATAATAACAGCAATAATATAAAACTCAATTAGAATAACGGAAACAATAACGATGAACGTATCGTTAGGCATGATATGGGCTGCTAAGGCACACGGCGTAGCCCTTCCCCCTTCTAATCTGGAGGGCACATATGAGTCTATGGACACACTTCTCTCGAGGAGGCATATCAATAAAAACGGTTGGAGACTACAAAGCGCAGCCTACGTGGCTAACACCGACGCCAAGGGGACCATAATACCCAGTGAAGGAGCCTCGCCCGGTGGGAACAGTGTGGTGCGGCATAACAAGGTCGTCACGAGGCGGCGTAAGTAAGGAAAGGTAGGTTTTGCATGCATCGCAGGAATCCAGTCATCGAGGATCCGGCCGCAGGCAAGGCACAGGGAGTGGGTGGAGAAAATAACGGTTCCTTTTCTTTGGATAGGAAGTATGTTGTCAGAACAGTAGTAATTAAAGAAAACAGGTGAGTAATTGAAGTGGAACACTAAGAGAAATTTCCCCAGGGCGTTAAACTGCGGATGACAACAACGATGCTAATGATGATGAAACTTGAAGGACTGGTAGAAGGTACAGAAAAACAACGGACTGGGAACCAAGAATAATAACAAAAATAAAAATACGTTAACGAAGACAGCTACAGTCCACTTAATTGTTATTAAGCTAAACAGAACGTATCAGACACTCAATAGATATGTAAAGAAAGAAAGCATACTACCACCTTAAAAAGAGTAAGTGGTGTTGATCTGTCGTCTGGCATAGAGACAAGGAGAATTAACAAGAGACAGTGATACAGCAATTCATGGTTAGAATGCAAACAGAAGATTCCATGTATGCATCTGACTGACGTCTTGAACAGCTGATTACCTCTACTTGTTAGATGTTCTAGGTCAATATCATGAATACTGTTTATTCGGACACTAATAACGGACATTATCGCAAAGCACACATGTTCCTATTCATACCTAGAATAAGGACACAATAGAGGAGATGAAGATCAACGTTAGCAGCTGATATTTGAACTAACTACTGGCCTGTAGAAGACACGGAATTCTTTCACGCAGGCAATTTCAAAGGCATGCTCGATATAAAGACACTAATACTATCGGGGGGGGGGGGAGGTTATAGACAGTGAATGTATGGAGAGGAAATTTCCGAGGATAATAACACGGAGACACGCTATGACTGGAGAAAAGGGAGACTTTTGGTTCGACCATTTACCACCCATGGACATCTTTACTTGCCTGAAATGACTGATAAAACTCCGAAAATACTACCACGAGTAATAAAGACTGACGAATAAATAAAAACGTAAAAAATAGGGATATCTGTAGTCACAAATAAATAAACAAAAGGATAGCATATACGATTGACCGCGTATCGAAACACTGGCACAGGCAGGAAAAGGGTGGGGATAAAAAGCAAGCAAGAAAATCCCGTAAAACACAGTGAAAGAAGTCTAAATAAAAAAAGTAAAAGGTGGAAATTGAGGTTCGTAAAAGTCCAGCAGTCAAGCCAAGAACGTGCAATTGCGACTGGCGAAGTTCAAGAGAGATACCAGGGCGGAACTGCTGTAAAAAATGTATTTCTTGTGATTTTAAGACAATTTAGAATCTTGCTTAAAACACGACAACGGTGAGGCGATATTTTCGACTATTATTAGGAGCAGTCCCTGGGATAGAGTAATGACCGAATTTTGAAGAATAACTGATGATTAAGAAGATACAAATATCTTTGTATCATTAATGATAATAAAATCACAAATAACAAGGCCATAATAACAATTCTATTACCATTACCAAAACTATAACAACAATAGTAACTGTTAATGACAATAATCGTAACATCAACAATAATCATTATTACAAAACATGAATAACGCCCAAACCTCACAATTAGAAAGAAAACACAAAAAAATAATACCGTTAATAACAACGAGTGCTTGTTAATATAAGCACCTCTATAGATGGGACCCTGCAACTCACGAGAGAAGCAGGATGCTGCAGACACCCCTCAATCCACCTCCACTTGTGCTGCTTCTTCCTTTCAACCGAAAAAAGGGAAAAAAAGAAAAAAGACGAAAGGAATAAAAATGAGAGAGGTACAGTACTTGAGCATTCATTAACATTGATTTCCTTCTCTCTAGTATAGGGCAGTACAGGGGAAGAGTGGGAGGGGGGGGGGGTTAGAGGGGGAGAACAAGGATATGCATGAGGTGGATAATGTATGTATGGGGTGAGAGATGGAAGAGGCGAGAGGGAGAGAGAGAGAGTAAGGAGGGATGAAGTGAAGGGGTGCGGGAAGGAGGGAGGGATGGAGGGGAGAAAGAGAAAGAGAGAGATCGTGGGAGGGATGAAAGAATGGTAGATAGGAGGGGAGGAGAAGAGGGCGGGATGGAGAGGGGGAGGGGAGGGAGGGAGGAGGGAGAGGGGAGAGGGAGAGGAGAGGGAGAGGAGGGAGAGGGAGAGGGAGAGGGAGGGAGGGAGGGAGGGAGGGAGAGGGAGAGGGAGGAGAGAGAGAGAGAGAAGAGAAGAGAGAGAGAGAGAGAGAGAGAGAAGAGAGAGAAGAGAGAGAGAGAGAGAGAGAGAGAGAGAGAGAGAGGGAGAGAGAGGGAGAAAGAGAGGAGAGAGAGAGAGAGAAGAGAGAGAGAGAGAGAGAAAGAGAGAGAGAGAGGGAAAGAGAGAGAGAGAGAGAGGGAAAAAGAGAGAGAGAGAGAGAGAGAGAGAGAGAGAGAGAGAGAGAGAGAGAGAGAGAGAGAGAGAGAGAGAGGAGAGAGAGAGAGAAGAGAGAGAGAAGAGAGAGAGAAGAGAGAGAGAAAAGAGAGAGAGAGAGAGAGAGAGAGGAAAGAAGAAATGAAAGATAAGGAGAAAGAGAGACAAAACGAGAGCGAGCGAGCGAGAGAGAGGCGAGTGAGCGACAGAGCGAGACCGATAACGAAACCAGACTGCTCAATCATCGGCCATCTCCCTCCTCGTCTCTTCGACCTTGCATCCCCCGCACATTTCCTCCCCCCCTCCCCCCTCTCCCCCCCTCTCGACACTCATCTCCAACCTCGAATCTACCAACGAATCTCCTGCTAATCCCCAGCTAATCAAGATGCTTCTCATTTTATTTATTCATTTATCTATTCATTTCGATTCTCCTCATGTGCTGCTTCATTCTCCTCGTCGCACCACTCAATGACCCGCCCCCATTAGCTTCCTGTCCCTCCTTCCACCTTTTTTACTCATTCTTACAGGATTCGACACTCGACACTTGACACTCGACACCAGGACCAATACAATCCGGCCCTGGGTTCCTGCGCCTCCTTCTGGCCTATGCGCGTAAATGCCCTCACTATATGTACGTCTTGTGTGTGTGTGTGTGTGTGTGTGTGTGTGTGTGTGTGTGTGTGTGTGTGTGTGTGTGTGTTGTGTGTGTGTGTGTGTGTGTGTGTGTGTGTGTGTGTGCGTAGTGCGATGCGCGTTTAATGAACAATGCGTGATGTGTGTATGTGTGGTGCGTGATGTGTGTGTACCATGTGGTACGTGCTGTTGGTTTTGTTGTGCTTGTTTTGTGTTGTTGATTTGTAGTGGTGCGTGGATGCAAGCGTGCGTGTGTGTGCGTGCGTGCGTGTGAACGTGTCTCAGAGTGTGTGCATAAACACATTCGCAGTTGAGCAGAAACAACCAAAGCGAGAAACATTAAGTCCACAAAATAAAAACACTTTACAGCTGGACATGGAACTACACTGATAAGCTCTACGGAACGCGCGCGCCCGATTTAACTACCCAGCCACAGCGCACTACATATCCCACCAGAAACTTTTTCGGCACGAATATGATTTCTCCCCCGAGACTTATTTACATAAACTGAGTCCGATACTCAGTACTGGAAATGAGCCACGCTTTACAATCCCTTTCCTCAAAACAAATAAACAAACAGCAAGTTTACAGCCGCCAATGTAACGAGTCTGAGAGCGAGCCAAAGGTGGCTCTATGGAATAAAAGTACCACGACTCTAAATCAAGGACGGTGCCAAGACCCGGGACCTCGTAACAGGATGGTCCTATTGACAAAGGGAAAAATGGTGTTAGGAGAGGGTGTCGCCGCAGCGTCTCCGGCGGGATGAAAAATGGAGCCAAGACGGAGAGATGGTGTTACTGGTGTAGATAGACACGAGCGACGGAGATAGATCCCCGATTCCACGCCATGGAAAAAGGTCGGAGGCCGGACGAAAAGCGCCAAAAGAGAGCCGATGATACAGAGAGAGAGAGAGAGAGAGAGAGAGAGAGAGAGAGAGAGAGAGAGAGAGAGAGAGAGAGAGAGAGAGAGAGAGAGAGAGAGAGAGAGAGAGGGGGGGGAGAAAAAGGGAGGGAGGGACGGAAGGAGGGCGAAGGAGAGGGAGAGACAGACAGACACACCGAGAGGGTGGGAGGCGCGTGGTGCCATTGGAAGCGCGCTGTCAGTGTGGAAGGACGGCGCCAGTGTGAAAATGGTGCCAAGGACGGCAGATGATGTCGGAGGAGCATGGTGCCAGGGTTGACAACTATGACACTCTTTATCAGAGAGGAATTGAGAGTTTTCTTTATGCATATTCGAGCAAGGGGCCATAGCGAATGGAATTATTCACACGCGTGTACACATGTCAGTCTTAATAGACTGTGCGCGAAAACATGGTGGGGGGGGGGAGGCTGGGAGCTCAGCAGGAAAAATAATTTACAAGGTTTGGCAGCAGCGTGAGAGGCGAGGCATGCAGGCAAGGGCTAGATCCCTGAGCTGTTAGCAATGCGCGCCGCCCATGGCCATCAGTCTAAACCCCCGGAGATGTGTTACTTCCGGCCCGCCGTCGCCGCCGCCAGCACCGAGACCGCTGCATCATCGCCCAGGCTCGACCAATATGAATACAGATCTACAATAATCCAAACGCCGCCTCGCAAACTCGCGTCCACAGCCACAGCCACAGATGTCGCAGCTGTGAAACACGATGACGACAACTCCCGTTTTATTAAGGCCTGTGTCGAGCGCCGGACTTTTGAAGGCGCTTCGGCCGGCGAGCGAAGCAGAGAAGGGGGGGAGCAGAGAGGGGGGGGGAAGAAACGGCGACGCGATGGAGTCTGACGAAGGGAAACGAACCGACGAGCAAGTGACCGACATGGCCTTAAGCGCTGCCAAATGAGGAGGAAAAAGGGCAATTAAATCAATATCATCCCCGGCGACTAACAAAAGGCTTCCCAACGACGTCTGTGTAAAAGCACTTTAGCTCTGGAAATTCTCCGAGTTTGATAGCCGTCCTCGACACTGCGAGACTTCCCCCGCCTCGCCAAGATAGAAAAGTTTTTAACAATCTCCTCGGCGATGACAGAGAAATGGGCGCCCAGACTTCGCCGAGAGGAGCGCTTTAATAACCATCCGGGGAATTGGAAGACCATTGATTCAATCCTATAGCGTCCCACTGCCTTATGAACCTTACCAACAGACCCCGCCCCCAGCGCCCTCGTCGCCCTCCCATTCAAATAAGTGGCGCTGAATGACACAACACTCCCGCTGCGTGTCACGGACTCCCCTGCCGTCATGAGCGCCCGCCAGAACCTCCCTCATGACCCCAGAAATCCGTTCATGGAAGGCGTCTTACCTGGAGCCCGGACTGCGATCGTTCACGGAGTCGTCATGGGGGAGGAGTTGTTCCAGAAGACTCTCCGTGTCTCTCTTGTAGATCGCCGGATGCACCTGTCCGGTCGCCAGGTAATGAAGAGAGAAGGCAAGACATTAGTTAAAGCCGGTCAATCGCGCCTTAAATAAGAAAAAAAGAAAAAAAAATGGTGATCAACTTTTAGGCCTATCGCAAGGATTGCCGTCTGATCCTCTCAGCGCATTTACTTGTTCATTTGTCTGTCCATGGAGGAGGAGAAAGGGGAGGGAGAGGGGAGAGGAGCGTGATAGCTGGAGAGAGATAGATATAGATAGATGAGAGAGAGAGAGAGAGAGAGAGAGAGAGAGAGAGAGAGAGAGAGAAGAAGGAGAAAAGAGAGAGAGAGAAGAAGAAGGAAAAAGAGGGATAAGGAAGGAAGGAGAGAAAGAGAGTGAGGGGAAGGAGAGGGGAAGAAAGGGGAGAGGAAAAGGTTGATCTCCCGGTGACTAGAACCTACCACCGGGCATGCAGACCAACGAGGGAGATATAACGTAACTGATTAACGGAAGAAGAGGGGGAAATATAACCCTTCCGAGCATCTCTTTCCCCTTGTCTTCAGCGAAGGTGGATGAAGAATAATAGCAAGAGAAAAAAATGAATAATCTCCCGGTAATTCTTGTCATCTTACATTTTCAATTCTACTCCGCTCGGCTTCCCTTGCTCCTTACGTTTAGTCCCAGAAACACATTTCCCTGGCGGCCTGCCAAGGCTTCCCCCCCCCTCCCTCCCTCCCCCTCCTCACCCCCCCCGTTCCTCTCCTCCCGTCTTTCCCCTTCCTCTATTGTCCCGCCCTTCCCTTCCTCATCCCCGCGCCCCCTCCCGACCCCACCCCCCTACTGCCCTCCCCTCGCCACAAGATCCTTTTTCCCCACAATAAGAAAAAAAATCAATCTGGATTTCCTTTACTAGCGCAGTTGCCTTCGCGTGTGGTTAAGCAGTGAGGGCACCCATTCCTTCCCTCCCCTTCACTTTCCTCTTGCCCTCCCTCCTCCCCTCCTTCCCTCCCTACCTCCCTCCTCCCCTCCTCACTCCCTCCTACCTATATACCCATCCACCCAACCACCCTCCTCTCCTCCCTCCCTTCTTCCTCCCCACTCACCCATCTACCCCTACGACCCACCCACCCTCCCTCCCTCCCCCACATGGAAAACACACTGAGCTTAAGTGGAATTCAACGCTCCTCATAAATCTGGCCTCGTTAAGTGGCGCGGAGGAATTTGTCTAAATCAAGGAGTAAAGCGACAGTCTCCCCATCTTGTGGGTTGGGGTGAAAGGGGAAAGAAGGGGGAGCAGGGGTTGGGAGGGGAAGTGCAGAGGGGAGAGGAGGGAGGAGGATGGAAATCAAGGGACAAGGAAGGGCGAGGGAGTGGAGGGCAAGGGGGTGGGGAAGGTAGGTCTAACGATCCTTCTTAAACCTCTCAATCAAAAGCAGGTTAATCCCCTCCTTCTACACTGGCCGTTTGATCTTCTATTTCGACGAGACAACACCTCAGTTCTTACTCATTCCTCATCAACAAGAGGGGGGGGGATGAGCATACTCCCTCCACATGCAACTCGCCACCGACACCATCCGAGGCTCGTCTCAAATCACACAATATCACGAAGACGCCACCCGTTATAAGAAGAAAAAAAAACATCTATACCATCTCACAACCCCTATATAGATATAGATAAAGTAATAGATAAAAAAAAAGATAAAACAACAATCGTCGGAATCAGAGCAAGACGCCCGGGACAATGCCAGCGCCGCTCCCCACTTCCGGTCACGTTTCGGAGGGCTTTGGGCCGGCATCCCCGCCGTCTGCCGCTCCCCATTCCGGTCAGGTCGAACTGCTTACACAAAGAGCTGACACATCCACATCGGCGGCGACTATCT